GGGGGGGGCAGAAATATGCCCTGATTCCGAGTGGCGTTGGCTTCCCGTTCTGGCCCGGTATTTCACACCAGAGCACGTGCGTCACTGTCTGTCCTGGTCTTGTACGAACCCGTTGGTATAAACATCACTGAACACAGGGATGTCGGAGGAGCCGCAGCCTGTGGGCTTTGCACAAGGGTCCTTCTGCACCATACCCAAAGTGCTCTGCAGCGTCCGCACGGGACTCTTCCCCGAACCAAACCAACTGGACTGTAAAACCTGGCACGCTCGCCTGGTGTTGCCGGGTCCTTCGGGGCTGGCGGTTTGTGTGTGTGTGGGGGGAGGGGGAGGGGGGGGGAACGACACAGGAATCAGGGCAGGACTTGGGGATTTCGGGGGCTCAGGGCAGGATTCTCCTCCCCCGGCAGGGACTTTCCTCCTCCTCCTCCCCCCTCCCAAGGGTGCCACTTACCCAGTGTGCTGGCAGGCAAAATCCCAAAGCCCCAGCCCTGCTGGCCACACTCTCGGTTCCTCTCAGCATCACCATGTCCCACGTCTCTGCCCCTCCCCTCCGTGTTCCCATTCCCGGGCTGGCTTTACGCCAGGACAAGAGGGCGCTGGCTGTGGAATTCGGTGGTCCTAGCTCCTAGCGTCTGGAGGGAGCGCTTGAACACACTGCCGGACAGACAGACGGACGCCCATTTCGAACATCTAACGACAGGTAAGTGAGAGGCACCACGCCGATGGAAGATGAAATTTGTAACAATTCTAGGGCTGCCAAGGGCTTCACAGTTGTATCTAAGTTGTGCACCTGGGCTGGGTCAGGGGCAGCCAGACCCAGCAGTCAGAGATGGAGCTAGAGCGCGGGGGAGGGGGGAATTTGCCCTCCCCTGAGCTAGGGTCAGGGGCAAGACACACACAGATTGGGAATCACAAGTCAGGTGCTAGGAGGCAAGTCCAGCTGGAGGGCAGGCAAACCAACCCCTCCCCCCCCCAGTGGGGGTGCCGCGCATGCAGGGCAAACCGAACCCCCGCCCC